ATTTCGGCGGAATTTGAACATTAACTACGCGGTTTTCGCGAACAAAATGGTGTAAAGATAATGCAAGAAGCCGAAACGTTCTCGGAAGCGGAAAAGGATCCCCTAATATTTTCCAACGGATAAAACGTTAAACAATAGCCGTACAATCGTATCATGATCTTCTTCGCTACGTTGCGTTTCATTATACACCGATTTCGTACAATATCGCGAACCATTATATTGTAGTCACGTTTTCGAGTGGCTCGTTCTCTCTAACAGCTTGCAAATGTGGATACAATTTAAGCGTCACGAAGCTTCGCGAACGAGTGGAAAAATCGTTGCACCTTTCGAGCGAGAATAAGCAACACATTTTTCGCAATGTGAATTGCAAACAATATCTTCATGATAATTCATTTGTTTATTGTGTACAAAAATTACAATATAAAATTACAAATTTCCGCTGACAGATGTAGAAAAAACATATTTGATATGATATTCGATATGATGTATTAATTCGATTGTAGTTGAAGTATGAAGTAATTGAAATTTTAGTTGTGATATAAAAAATGTGTATAAAATCTTAAATTAGCAGATTCCTAAATTTCTATATTCCCAAAATATTTTCAAACTTCTCAAAATTCTCAAACAGTAAAAAATTGTTATAGGATAAAAAAAATAGAAGGGCGGTAGTTTTACCGTATGGAAATATACTACAAATATACACAATTTATCAGAAAAAATTGCAATAACAGTTGAAAACTAATTCACGGTGTATACCGAAGGAAAGAAACGTTTGGAAGTTCTTAGCGTTTCCAACCCCTCGTGCGTGCAACGAAGTTTACCGTAGTTAAGATGTTGCGTCGCGATATCGCACAGGACAGTGCAATCAGTGGAAATCAGTTACTTAGCAGCGTGCTGGTAGTCGAGGAAGAAAAGCCGTCGAGAATAGGTAGTAATCTCGACGATGGAGGTTTATCACGGTAGATGGACTAATTGATGTCATTCAGGGTATCATTAATGTCGGTGGTCTTGGACGCGGTATCAGCAGCTAGTGATTTTCACAAGCGGAGAAATCTTTTCAGACCGTGCCACTTCTCGCGACTTTCCGCTTCTCAAGAACAGAGGAAGAGAACAGGACGTTGAACAGAGGAACGGGAGAGAGAGTAACACGGTAGCAACGTGTGTGCGAGGACCGGTACGTTAGAGAGAGAAGGGTAGTTGTACGTGTTCGTGGGTGTCGAAGGCGGGAAAAGAGGGTGAGGATGCAGGAGGGGATGGAAGTATGAAGTGAGCATATTACTATTGAGAATAAGTACCTGGCTTCGAGATGGTGGCTGTGCACAGGGGAGAAGGTGGAAGGGGCTGAAGTAACGGCACACGGGGGTGGTACGTCGGGGTACAAATGGGGTGGTACAATGGGCACTAATGGATCTCAAGCCGCCGCGAGAGGCGCTGCTTTTAATCTAATTGTCCTTCGTAGCCGTCGCGATCGCGATCAGTGGTATTCAACTCTGATCCCTCGTCCACCCCCTTAAAACATATGATTACGCGGTGGAACAAAAAATAAAAGAACGGACCCTGGTTCTTCCTCTTTCATGCCGTACGAATTTTTACGCGGCAGCGGTTCAAAAAGCACAGCGCGAACTTTTAATGCGGCAATTAAATTCCAACGAACAATAAACGTTTATTAAATTCCTGTAATACACCGTCTGTTAAAAATTCATCACGGGATGTTGCGTTGCCAGTGCTAGCCCGAGCAATTTGCCATATCACGCTGCCTATGGGAAATGAAGGTTTTCCACGGTTTTGTTCTTCTCTTACTCTTATTACCAAGATATAATATAGTTTATGAATACGTATGTCTATCCTGAGTCACTTTACTTGATTGACATGTGAACATGTTCGTTGATGATTGAAGGTTGAAGGTTGATCTATGTAAATATTCTTTAAGAAGACTACACTTTTGAATGACTTGATCTTGAATAACTTCGAGAAAAATGAAGATGATTTAGACTATAATGTTCAGCAATAAAATATAATAACAGGGGCAAGTTTTCCAATGATTAACAGGATATCTTATAATACTGTATGTTACTTTTAATCAATGACGTCATTAAACTCCACATAAGTTGCATTCAATTCACACTGCATCAAGAGATTCATCTAAATTATCCAAAAGAGAAATAAGTCAGTGACAAACCAAATTAAGGGTTGAAAATGGAAATAGACTACCCATATGACATACATGTCTATGTATTTCAGCTGCCACTCAAGACCTAAACCTAAAGTGTCTTATCAACAAGAAGTAAGCTTTTGGTTTTGAGTATCGCACACAATCCGCGACTATCGATACCTAAGTGCATCACGTGGACAGGTATAGGTGTGAATGCTTACGAATCGACACGGCGAATGAATGCAAGGCGAAAGTGGACCCGGAGCATTTCTTTCTCCTTCTAGTGGTTCCATTTAGCGGAACTTTACAGCATTATGCGACACGGTTGTTCAGCTAAAACGCACGAAGGGGGAGAGGAATTTCGAAAGCATGCAAAGCGTGCTCTTTCTAATGTTGCGAATATAAAATGTCTGCGGAGTATCTCGAGTACACTGGTTCTTTCTGTCAACGACTTCAGCCTCGATCCTTTAAATACGGGAATTTTGTTCTTTGGGTGGGAATCGATAGAAAGGTATAGATAAACTTGCTGTTAACAATCATAGTGCTATAAGATTAAAATAGGGTAGATAGCGGTAAGGATGGTTGAGGATGATTTGATTGTGGACTTTGAAATGTAAATTTGAAATGTGGACTTGCTTATAAATTCTTTAACTGGATTGTAATTTCCAAGAATCTAAATTCTTAAATTATTGAGTTCTCAAATTTCTAAATTTTCAAACATCTTAATTTTTAAATTTCTGAAACGCTAATTGCCATATCCTAAGTTTACAAAATTCCTATAATCGAATTCCTGTAGTCACAAATGCCTGGTTTGCTAAATTTCTGAAGTCCCAAATTTCTACATTCTGAAATTTCCAAATTCCCAAATTCCTATGTATTCAAACTTCTAAATCTCCAAACTCTCATATTTCCTAATTTCCAACCCCCAAATTCCAATGTTCACAAACTCCTAAACACCCAAATTTACTAACCGAATCCCCTTCTTGCATTTCCAACCTTCCGATTCCCAAATTTCCAAATCAGAAGTTCGACAAAAAATTGTAGTTAGCCAACGGTCTGTTTCGAGGTCCCCTCGGTGAATTATCCGTACACCTCCCTCGTGTCAGTCCGGTCATAATTCACTCATGGGTGGCTAATGTCGAGCGTAATTAGGCGAGCAGCGAAAGACTGTCCCACGGTTTGTCAATTTCCGAGAGAAATGGAAACAGAAAGGTGGAAAGTAGAAAGGCTGAAATATCATAACACAAAAGCTTGGTCAGGAAATAAAGCACAATGTTTCCCCGCAAACTCGTGTCATTATCTGGTCGATCTTATCGGAAAACAACGATGACGATCGTCCCGGCGCAGGTGGCGCAATAATTACATCCCCCCTGTGCTTTGATCCCCGACACCACCGCGGACCCGTTCAATAACGATAACGATAATTGTCGTGGCGGTATCGTCGCTCCTCGCTTCGTCGTCCTTACTAGAGATAAATTTCTGATAAGACGGATAAATTGGTTGGATTGTAATTGCCGTTGTGCGTGTTACCAGGATGAGCAAAGTACATGTACCTGACCGAGGCACGTGGGAAGCGTTGCAAACAGGGTTGAGGGGATGAACGGGTGGCACGATTAAACGTCACCATCGAATGTTTACACCGAAAGTCCGTGGGAATCGAATGCATTCCTCCCTCTTTGTATTTACAGGGGGATAGAGAAGGCAGCTGCCCCTATGTCAATCCAGAATTCAGGAAATCGCTATGTACCCCTATGTGAAAATCCTTTCGGAATTAATGACACGGAAGCGGTTTTCGCGCGGGTTAATCGCATTAATCGTGTTCTCCGATTTTCGGCTGTTTGGGGAATATTGTCATTAGCTGTTTTACAAAGGGATACGAATTGAGATTAATTTTAGGGTTCGGGGGTGAAATAGTAAATTATGTCGAGAATGATTCAAATGAAGTGTTGGTCTATGTTAAGGGTGCAAAAGTGGGCAAGTTCGGGTGTACTAATGGATGGACATTTTAATTGAAAAGTTTGTGAACTTGAAGACTTGGAAATTAAAAATTAAAAACTTTGAAAATTTAGGAATTTTAATTTGTACATGAATTTTTTCACATTTGTACATTCTCAAATTTCGAAATTGCCAAAGTTTGAAATTTCCAAATTCGATTATCAGATTTTCAAGTGAAAAATTTTCCAAATGTTCATTCAAAAATTAGCTAAATTACCCAGATTGCCCAGATCCCCAAAGATATTAGAAATGATAGAACTGTCGGAGTCAGGGAGGATAGGGAATTGTAAACTGGTAGATGTTAATAGTATCATATATTTCTCTCGATGTAATTAATTAGCTACATATTTACATGAAAAGATATTGTACGTGATCTATATTTATATATATGTATATGCATGTTTGCGTATCATACATGTATATTACAAAAATTGCTCGTCCGCTATGAGTTCGCTTCGATCGTCTCTAAACTGACTACAAAATACTCCAACTAAGATTTTCAACGTTCCACAAATTAAAATTTATACCAAAAATGCTCATTTCGAATATTCCATAATTAACCAAATTCTACGTATTCTCGAATGATAATAAACATGAAACTTTGAATATTTTACAATAAAATGTTTCTAAGACATCGGAAAACCGCCAGCGGCTTCTCGCATCAACAGAAAAATTTCGGTACGAAATTTCGTAACGATCTCAGTCGTCCACAGCCGCCCCGAATAGACTAGGTTGCACTTCAACAGAACTCTTTCAACCCCTACATCCTAATCGAACCTTTCATACAATATACAATCACACCAGCAAAGTCCTCGGCACCGCTATTTACATCAGGCCATCGAGATCTTCACAGTTAATTATCCACCTTGCGTAGAACCTCTTCAGCCTTCACTCTGAGGACCTCCGCGCTTTGTCTCCTGATCTCGTCGTCAGACGAGGCGGAATCCTCCTCCTTGTCGTGCTTCGAACTCAAATTCTGCGGCAGACTCTGCACCCCGAGATTCAACGAATGTCCCGGCAGATGACTCCCGAGCGAATGTCCGTTCACGTTATTGTGGTTGAGGGACGAAGCCGGGTTCAGTCCGACCGGAAGCACTGTACCAAGAGACGCCAGGTTCTGCGGAAGGGGTAGGCCGATGTATTGCGACAGGATCGCGTGCAGAGGGGGTAGTTTCGGTGCACTGGCCGGCCACGGTGGTGGGAACACCGGAGGGATGAACCAGGGAAAGGCACCCGCTGGTCCTCCCGATGGATCCGCACCTGGCACACCGCCGGCGGTTTGGAGCAAGCGGGCGTGAAGGGACAACTCGTTGACACCTGCAATCACACCGTTTTGCAGGGATTTTAGTCGGTTTTGTTTTTGACGAACTGCGAAGGGTTCCCGGACAAGATCGAGCTGGTTAGCGTTTAGAGATCCAGCTGCGGCTTTGTGTTCTTTGTCCAAAATCAATTGGCTCAAGGCCACTCTCAACTCGTGGTACCGTTTGGTTGCTTCTTTACATTAGATATATCGAACCTGGTTTTTTCACTTTGATTGAAATCATTTGAGAAATCGACTCTGTACAATTTATTTTGAACAAAAGACATCTTTGGATTGTATGTATAAAAATGATCAAGTATGAATGTACCTCTTATGTCAGATATTTTTGTGACATTCACTCGCAGTGATCTTAAATGACACTTCATATTGAACCCTAATTCATGTTTCATGTATGACTCCAGCAGCCATTTTGAAACTACAACTACTACATTTTTCATATAAAATTAAAAACACTTAACACAAAATGCAATGAGCACATAGATCCAACATAAGGTGTACAATAAATCCTATGATAAACGGATAATTTCTTTCCGTGACAATTTTACACGTATCATCGAGAAACGATTAGAGAAGTTCGAATGGTAGAAATTTATCCGCTTGTCTGCGAGATCGCTGTTCGCATAGGAATAAGAACCACGGAGCACCGATAGTGCCTTTCATGAAAAATTAAACGGTCAAGCTTCCGTCGCGCATCGTTCGCGTGTGATGGCCACGATGGCCGACACTGAAATTAGATGTAATTGGTGCCGATTGCATCTACCCTTCCGTAACTTTTCCTCGTGGCTCGATTCCTCGCATATTAACAAACAGTATTGGCGACGAATTTTCAAAAGATATGTGAACAGTCGCTTACCGCTTTGTTCCACGTGCATGAAACTGGTGTCTCTTCCTAGAGCCTTCTCCTTCTTGCGCCATTTTGCGCGGCGATTTTGAAACCAGACCTGAGAACAGAAAAATGACACTTGAATCAATCTTGAAAAATGTTAATAAAACTCGATATTATATTGTATTAACACTGAAATTTATATTGGTGCCTATTTATGATATTAATTATAATCAATTAGAAATTCGCTTCTCTGGTTGCCATTTGACTATAATAAAAATTGAACACACTACAGATACGCAATCACACCGTTTTGCAGGGATTTTAGTCGGTTTTGTTTTTGACGAACTGCGAAGGGTTCCCGGACAAGATCGAGCTGGTTAGCGTTTAGAGATCCAGCTGCGGCTTTGTGTTCTTTGTCCAAAATCAATTGGCTCAAGGCCACTCTCAACTCGTGGTACCGTTTGGTTGCTTCTTTACATTAGATATATCGAACCTGGTTTTTTCACTTTGATTGAAATCATTTGAGAAATCGACTCTGTACAATTTATTTTGAACAAAAGACATCTTTGGATTGTATGTATAAAAATGATCAAGTATGAATGTACCTCTTATGTCAGATATTTTTGTGACATTCACTCGCAGTGATCTTAAATGACACTTCATATTGAACCCTAATTCATGTTTCATGTATGACTCCAGCAGCCATTTTGAAACTACAACTACTACATTTTTCATATAAAATTAAAAACACTTAACACAAAATGCAATGAGCACATAGATCCAACATAAGGTGTACAATAAATCCTATGATAAACGGATAATTTCTTTCCGTGACAATTTTACACGTATCATCGAGAAACGATTAGAGAAGTTCGAATGGTAGAAATTTATCCGCTTGTCTGCGAGATCGCTGTTCGCATAGGAATAAGAACCACGGAGCACCGATAGTGCCTTTCATGAAAAATTAAACGGTCAAGCTTCCGTCGCGCATCGTTCGCGTGTGATGGCCACGATGGCCGACACTGAAATTAGATGTAATTGGTGCCGATTGCATCTACCCTTCCGTAACTTTTCCTCGTGGCTCGATTCCTCGCATATTAACAAACAGTATTGGCGACGAATTTTCAAAAGATATGTGAACAGTCGCTTACCGCTTTGTTCCACGTGCATGAAACTGGTGTCTCTTCCTAGAGCCTTCTCCTTCTTGCGCCATTTTGCGCGGCGATTTTGAAACCAGACCTGAGAACAGAAAAATGACACTTGAATCAATCTTGAAAAATGTTAATAAAACTCGATATTATATTGTATTAACACTGAAATTTATATTGGTGCCTATTTATGATATTAATTATAATCAATTAGAAATTCGCTTCTCTGGTTGCCATTTGACTATAATAAAAATTGAACACACTACAGATACATTGTTACTAAAATTTGATACTATTCCTAAACAGGAATTATGGAATAAAAAATAAACAAGAAAATGGGACTCTCAGAAAGTTAAGTGTCGTGCAATTTGCAACAGTAATAAATTTTGTTTCAAGAAGCTTCAGCTTGACGACACAGTTGCTCCCGGTGTCCTTCCAAATTAAGAGAACATTTATCGCGCGAAATCATCGAATTATTTCTGGGAAGAAAATACGCCTAGCTACGCATGAGAACCCCAAGCAGCCGTATCAGAACCACCCAACAAAAGCTTGCTCTCGAGGTTGATTAAGCTAATTGTTAACAATTATCCTGATTTCCTCCGTACCCCTGAGTGGCAGCAACCCCTGCCCTCGTCCCTCGCCGCCCCATCGAAAGCCTGGCACGCCGTTTCTGCAGACCCCGTTACTGCCATATAAATGCTTTCGCTTTCCGCCTGAGCTGCTCTGATTTTTCGTGGCTAGCGGCAGACCCCGCGAAAGAGACAGAGAAAGAGGGAGATTGCATTTTACATCCTACCTCTATTGTGTAGGAAATCCAGTGCTTTTCAGCCGATCCATCGACATCGATCCGATACGCGTGGATCGTTCGGTGATACCTACTTCTTCGAACGCTGTCTGGTCAACTTTTCTTTCATCTTCTTCGAGATTTAAATTCAGTATTTATGACGAAACGTGTGTTTCTAAGATTTGTGTACATGGATCTCTGTGTCATGAAAATTATGGGTTCTAATTTTTGTACATCAAACTCCAAATTCAAGTTCAAATTCCCCACTTTATTAAAGCCCTTCAGATCCTCAAGTACCAGGTTCCACAGGTACCAATATGTCCAGATACCTATATGTTAATATTCCTACCTTCCGATTTCTATAATTTCTATATTTTTACATCAGTAGATTTATGTCTCCTTAAACTCCCATATCCCAATTATATTTCTTCTTCTACCTAACCCAAAGGTCCTACATCCCCATATCCCGAAGTTCCAAGATATATCTTTGCATCCCTATATCATTACGAGACAGTTAAGACATCCGAAATAGTTTCATTAAAGAACGATAACTAACGATCCGAAAAGAAAGAGAATAACTCATAATTAATGTAACGCTAATCGGATGATTAAATTTGGTCGAAGAACTTGCAAGGAGAAATTAGGAATATCGTTGGTCGATGCCAAGGTGGAGAAGGGAAGTTTTGAAAGTGACTGGAAGCGTTCAACGTAGGAGCGAGGGAAAGGGGTTGAACGTCGCGAGGCCGGGGCAGGAAATTCAATTGCCTAATTGCTGTTAATTATTTAATCGCCCCTGAATACCCCGCTAACGCCAAAGTGCTCGCAAACGTTGCTGCGCGTCGTTTAAGCGACCCAACGCGAACCCGAAACTTTCAATCCCTGTCTCGGTCCACACACAATCTCGGTGTAACGTTTCCACCGTCTCCGCCGCAAATTTCCTGCTTACCCTCTTGCTTGTTGCCGGCACTAACCGACTACAATTTCTTTCTACCCCTACACTTTACATATGCAAGTACTACGTTCCATGTATCTACTATGAAACTAGTTGACGGTGCAGGTTCATCTCTTAGGGTTTTTCTATCCCCCTTCTGAATAACTATACATAAGAATTTTTAAGAACTCTTTTTATCTTTAAATACGTTGTCAGGCGATGGCTATCTTTTTAGATATTACTTGTATTTAATGTACCTATGATTTAATATAATTTAATGCGGTTTAATATACTATTTAATAGTGACAATTTAATATGCACAGTTTGATATACACATGATGTCGAATTCAGTATATGTACACACATGATACAATAAATATTAGACTTCACATATGTGGATGCATCGGCTGATGAATATGATGTTAAGCCATTACATGATTAACAATCTTCCCTGTTCATAACATGAGTACAAAATGAGTTTACTGGGTAATCTAAAGATTGAGTCACCTTGACAGTATACGTCTTACCATCGACCACATTTCTGGTCCCAACATCGACCACAGTTATCACATCGAAGACAAACTTGTGTCCACTTCTGAAATGAAGGTTCTGCAAGGGTTAAGGCCTTGATATCTGAAGGACCTTGAAACTGTGGGCGTACGCATTTCTGTATAATTATCGTCTTTTGTGGTAACTGAAAAATCCCGTGAAATCGAAACAGGGACGCAAGGGAAAAAGCGAAAGCGAGCCTGGAGCGTCCGCGGGAATAGGAAGCGGGCAGAAACGATTCGTGATTCCATTACCATCGGGACCGATCGTCGATCGAACGCGATACATCGGCCGGCCATTAATACCGAAAAATGGGTAATTTCGCATCTGGAATTGTGGGGTGGCGCGGTAGGTGGGGTAGGGCGGAGGTGGAGGAGGAGTAGCGGAGGATTTCCTAGATTGAAATAAAGTGGCCGTGGCACCACTGCGCCGCGGCGGATCATTTAGCGGTTTTGTCGAGCGACGGCCAATTGCCGGCATTGTCGCTTGGCTGTACCACAATGGGCCAATCGGAATGCTCTCTGTCTCTTTTCAGCTGCACGCCACCCTTCGACGACGGCTCTATCCACGACCCTTCTCTATACCCTGCACACACACCCATCCTAGATATCTACACGTGTATACACGTACACGCTCTCTTTCTCCCTCTCTTTCTCCTGCTTTCGCGATTCTACCACTGTCTCTCCTCTCTCCAATTTCGTTCCGTGTTTCGCTCGCGCGATCGTGTCCTCTCTGTTCGTACTAGTAGAGGGTGTCAGGATGGTTACGCTAATCGAGTAACCGATTTCCATCCATGGAAAAGTCATAATTTATGGCAGCACCCGCCAATACCCGGACACTGTCGTCGCTGCACGCCGATTCCGCGTCACGTAGACCCGGCTCGTTTCGCGGACGATTAAGTGATAATAGGTGTGGATGGGGATGATATTTATCGCAATCGTGATCGAATCATCGCGATCAAAGATTTTCAAATTCACGTAATTTATCGTAATATTCACCTGCATCAGCTGCTCCATCATTCAATTGCAAGGTCGTCATTCCACATTTACTTTCTCATTTCACAACTTTCCATTTCTTCATTTCATATTTTATATTAACATGCATTACACTACATTGGGAAATACTAGTAACCTTATATTCAATCTTACATCTTGTCAGTCTGTAATCTTATATTCAATCTGAGTAACCTATGTAGTGTAATAGTAACCCTGAGTGACCTTTAGATAAGAGCAAATCTGATAGTTAAGAATACCCAGCAATGACACATGAGTTGTCAAAATATTTAATTACTCGACAATATTTATCAAATTTGAAAATATTGGTATTGGAAAAAGATTGAAAGGGTAAAATAATTACTGAGATAAAAGAAGAGTTTAAAAGTTACAATTGTCCATGTAAATCCCATTTGATTCTTTTTTTATCGACGTCAAAATATGCACACCTGGTGCTCTCTCATGACCGTTAAAAGGCACGGCTGGCAAATAATTTCAAAGCAGATTACGACCCCGCACGCTCTTTACCGTTCAACTGGCTCGTATGAAATTAATCCTCGTAGCACGAGTATGATGGTCTGGCGCGTCTTTCGTGAAATTGCAGACGTCGAAGAGCGGCAGATTTTCGGTACAATAGTGTGTAATTAGTTGAGAGGCCCACACTGAGGTTGTGGCTCATTCAGCTACGGCTTTCCCAGTTCGAATATCAAGCCCGGAAAGCTATTGGTGTGCATGCATGACTTTAAAGACAATTTAGAGTATCGTCCTATTGCTCAAATTTCGAACCCTTAAGGATCCGTGAAATCCAAATTTTCCTTCGCTCTCAATACTTTCAACTTTTTTTTATGAGTTTTTGCATTTGCGTGATCCGGTATTAACCTTTTGGATGAAGTGGATGAATCTTCACATTTTTAAATTTCCTTGTAATTTGCATAATTTCATTTCCTGGTACTAATCATGCATGTGGGGGTGAAAAGTTACGTAGACCCGGCTCGTTTCGCGGACGATTAAGTGATAATAGGTGTGGATGGGGATGATATTTATCGCAATCGTGATCGAATCATCGCGATCAAAGATTTTCAAATTCACGTAATTTATCGTAATATTCACCTGCATCAGCTGCTCCATCATTCAATTGCAAGGTCGTCATTCCACATTTACTTTCTCATTTCACAACTTTCCATTTCTTCATTTCATATTTTATATTAACATGCATTACACTACATTGGGAAATACTAGTAACCTTATATTCAATCTTACATCTTGTCAGTCTGTAATCTTATATTCAATCTGAGTAACCTATGTAGTGTAATAGTAACCCTGAGTGACCTTTAGATAAGAGCAAATCTGATAGTTAAGAATACCCAGCAATGACACATGAGTTGTCAAAATATTTAATTACTCGACAATATTTATCAAATTTGAAAATATTGGTATTGGAAAAAGATTGAAAGGGTAAAATAATTACTGAGATAAAAGAAGAGTTTAAAAGTTACAATTGTCCATGTAAATCCCATTTGATTCTTTTTTTATCGACGTCAAAATATGCACACCTGGTGCTCTCTCATGACCGTTAAAAGGCACGGCTGGCAAATAATTTCAAAGCAGATTACGACCCCGCACGCTCTTTACCGTTCAACTGGCTCGTATGAAATTAATCCTCGTAGCACGAGTATGATGGTCTGGCGCGTCTTTCGTGAAATTGCAGACGTCGAAGAGCGGCAGATTTTCGGTACAATAGTGTGTAATTAGTTGAGAGGCCCACACTGAGGTTGTGGCTCATTCAGCTACGGCTTTCCCAGTTCGAATATCAAGCCCGGAAAGCTATTGGTGTGCATGCATGACTTTAAAGACAATTTAGAGTATCGTCCTATTGCTCAAATTTCGAACCCTTAAGGATCCGTGAAATCCAAATTTTCCTTCGCTCTCAATACTTTCAACTTTTTTTTATGAGTTTTTGCATTTGCGTGATCCGGTATTAACCTTTTGGATGAAGTGGATGAATCTTCACATTTTTAAATTTCCTTGTAATTTGCATAATTTCATTTCCTGGTACTAATCATGCATGTGGGGGTGAAAAGTTAAACTATTGATTTTGTTGAGAAATGATACGTGAAGAATTCATCTTTCACTGGGGTGCAGGGGTCCTTTGGTTAAGGAGGAAAGTAGGGAGCATTATTTGTCTCCAATCTTGCAAGAACCTTGAAATTTAGGGGAGACATGGACCCTCTTCGAAGAATATGTACAAATAAAGTGAGCAGTGGAATTCTTTTTACATTCCTTAACCAAAGCCTAGATACTGATAAGAATTTTTTAAAAAGTAGAATTTGTAATAATATTGCTATTACATCAATGACACAAACGCTAACTCAAGGAACACCAAAAATGACATCACATTTCAACAGTGATTTCTATACCATGTATTAAAATATCTACACTGGAATATAATCGCAGTTATTAATTTGAGTAAAGTTAAACTAACCTGTACCCTAGCTTCCGACAGGTCTAACCTCATCGCCAGCTCCTCCCTGGTGAACACATCTGGATACTGGGTGTTCCCAAAAGCTTTCTCTAACTCGTGTAACTGGTAGGTGGTGAAGGTTGTACGGGACCTTCGAACCTTGCGTGGTCTATCTGACTCTCCTAGATTTAAGGGATCGTGCAGAGCATCGTTTATCTGATGATCGCTCAAATGACCGAGTTCCGTATCTCCTCCATCGCCGATCACATCGGACGAGGTCGCGTGATCTGGAAATAAGGATAAAAAGAATAATTCATTTCGAGCATCACTGACATTTCTCCTCTATCTCCCGAATCTATCGAAATTACTTCCTTTTATTCGTATACGTTACATTAATTATTATCAACGATCAAAAACAACATTATCGTGTTTGCATGTGGCGTGCATCTGTGTACACGAAGCCTTCGATTTTTTGTATTTAAACATTCGTGTGGATTATGAGGGTGGACGAAGATACAAGTTTCTACGTTTTCAAACACCCGGTTTACACATCTCTAAATTTTTGCATATGTAATATTTACATATGTGAGTTTTCACATACTCAGTTTTTACATCCCTAAATTTTTATATGTTCAATTTCTACATCGCCAAATTTTCATATACCTAATACCCACATCCCTGAATTCTCACACACTCAATTTCTACATATGTAATATCCACATGTCTGAATTCTCACGTACACAATTTCTACATATGTAAAGTTTTACATACTCAGTTTCTACATCCCTAAATTTTCACATATTCAATTTCGACATCCCTAAATTTTCACATACTCAATTTCCACATCCCTAAATTTTCACATACTCAATTTCCATATCCCTAAATTTTCACATACTCAATATCCATATCCCTAAATTTTCACATACCTAATACTCACATCCCTGAATCTTCACATACCCAATTTCTACATCCCTAAATTTTCACATACCCAATTCCTACATCCCCAAATTTCCGTACATCAATCCCCACATCCCCAAACTGCACAAACCCCAAGTCCTAAATCCCAAAATTCCAAAAATTTCGAACCGAAGCCCAGGATCGCCACCGTTCCTGGAACCCCATAGTCCATGAAAAAAATACAGATAGGGAAACGGTGGTATAGGACCGCGACAGGTATTGAAGTTTGGACAGAAACGCGTATCAAACGATCGACGTGGGCCTTCGATACTTGAGCGCAAGAGAGGATCGGGGCGATTAAGCTAAATCGTCCACGCTGCCAAAACGAAATTGACGTTTCGCTGGTACGCAAGCGACAGCAAACGCGAGGACGCAAGGGGGTGGTTAGGGGGGTGTAGATGCTGCGGGGCCGGTGTGGGTGCAATTTCGTTTTTAAGCCGCGCCACGAACCGGGCGCCGATATACAAACCGATACGCCGATGATGTCCGATCGGCGGATTTGCCAATTTTAAGCCTCACCCGGTGCGCTTCATTTTTTGTATATCCGGCTATGTATGAAATATGACGCATCGATGCGAGCCTGTACATTATACGTACACGCTCGATAGTACTTAAAAACCGTTGCCGTCAGTGATTAGCAAATATCACAAGTACATGTCGTACAACGTGTCCCCTTCGGTGCCCGATGCAACCCTTGCATTTCTCGTTTCTCTGACCCTCCCTCGTAGCTATCTCTTTCCCGCCAATTCTTTCGTCTTCCCGCCTCGGTGCGGGCTTAAACAGCTCATTAGAGCAAACTACACGCGGAATGTACTCTTTTTTCTACGCACGGAATATTGCGTTTTTTTCTAATGTTGCACGATTTCATGAAAAAGTCATTTCATAGAGTGACGTAGGGCTGTTTTAAGAGCCTTACCTATTTAATTTTATACTTCATTGCAAAAATAAAGATTTTAAAAATGATGACAATGTGGACAAATTCGACATTGTTTGTAAAATATAGCACATAAAAATTGAACAATATTTTTAAAGTCCATAAATTCCTATATTTACAATGAACAATACATTAATGCAAAATTAATATTTTTTTATATATTCATATTTTTAATAATTCAGCATTATGAGTAAATTCTAAGAGTCCTCACGAATGAAAATCGTGTAAGATGTCTATTAGAGGTATCAATTAAAAAATGAAAAAATCCCTGATAGAACATACAGGCAATTAAGGTAAGAAGACAATAATTAAGGTGAATCACGTGACTAATTGAGCGTAAGCTCATCGACTTCTCTTTTGCACGCTTATCGTACAATTAGAAAGCCATCACGGTGCTGAAAATCGTAAGTCCATTAACGCGTCGTTAATCGTTTAATTTCCGCCTGTATCTAATTAGAGATAGTACGCTTTTGAACGTAACCGGCATTGGCCATGAAATTAAATAACAACGCCATAACGACCATCGGTTCACAAAGTTTCAATATCTGTCTCACCCCATCCGCTCCCATCATCCCCTTACACACGTTTCCTTGAACTAATTAGACGCGCATTTGCTACTCGAGCGAAATAACGTTAATCCTACATTTCGATGCCGCTCTAACCGGCAATTGTGATAGGTTGCGAATAAAGCGAATCGTTCAGACCGGTACGCATGTCGGCTGCGTGTGCAAATGGACGAGCAAAAGGGAGAGAGAGAGAAATACACGCGTGCGTGTGCGCGTAATCGCACTAACATTTACGCAAACAACGTTCGGATAATCCACGATGAATAGAGAGATTTTTATGTTTTCATGCTAGGGCACAATGGGGCACCCACTTGATGCCTAACTCTCCGGCTCTTTCTATTAAATCTACGACCCCCGCCGCTATGGGGTTGCGCCCGAGAGGGTGGCCCGTAAAGCCAAGTCGCGCCGCGAAATTAAAGATTTATTTACCGTGCCCTACGATCACCACATGTCCCGCTTTTTTGCCCGATACTTGTTGACAACATTTTGCGTTTAATTGAGTTCGTCTCCATTTGCGACGACTTTAATATCGACGGATCAGAGGATCTTTTTTGGTCTGTGAATACCGTTCGTTACTAGGACTTTAGGGTGAGCTTGGATAGCTTAATTGTATCATAGTTATTCATAGTTGCATGTGATGGGAATGCAATTGGAGTTTTTGGAATTTGAGGATTTGAGGTCTAGGAATTTGGGGATTTGAGTAATCTTTAATTTGTGAATGCGTATAAGGGATGTTGAAATTTGAGTGTTGAGAATTTGAGAATATGGGATCTAGGAATTTAGGATTTGTGTTATCTTTAATTTGTGGTTGCATATACCAGGGATGTTGCAATTGGAATGTTGGGTATTTGAGGGTTTGAGAATTTAGAAAAGCGTGAATTTGAATATTTGGAAATTTAGGTACATTCGCAAGTTGAAATTTTGAGGTTTAATAACATTTAACAAATATAATAATTTGAGGATTAAGAAAATTGAAAAATCCGAAGAATAAAGAAAATAAAAAAATCTGAAGAATTCAGGAACTTGAAAATGTAAAAAACTGAAGAATATCTGAATTTAAAAATCTGTCATTTTAAAGAATTTAAGAGTTAATGAACTCAAACATAAAAAAGTGAATTATGACAATGGTGCATCATAGAAAGACGAAAGTTTTTGGCCCACAGCATAAAGCAAAAGTGAATCGCTCCCTTGATAATCTATAATCGTGAACGCGTCGATCTGTAAGCGATACTCAGCGAATCGTATCAATGGACACTCGATGCACAGGTATTATCAGACGCATTAATTATGTTAGACGACTGTACGATCGAAATCCGCAAACACATCCTGATTTCTGTACGCCACAATCGGGACGGGCCAATAATCGGTCCAGCTGTATACAGTGATCATCGACTGTGTTCCTACCCGTGTACCCATATGTATCATGAAACGTGCATACACGCGTAACCTCGTAATCAATTCGGCCTGTATGAAAATCCAATCATCCGGACGCTAATTGGCACGACGCTAAGAAACCTTCTTCCTATGATGTTCTCTATCATGGGATCATAAGTATACCGGCATTGACGTAATTAGGATTATTATGTACACGAAATAGCTTTAGATTGCCACGCGATATATTGCCAGATGTTATGCAATTATGAGTTGCTATATGGTAGATTTCTGTGGGTTAGATTTTGTATGTGTTACATTCTCTATACATCGTTCGATGCGATTGGTTTTCAAAGCATTAAATTTGCTACGCGTTATATTTTGTATCTGTTAGATTACCACGCGTTATATCGCCACCTATTAGATTTTCCACGCGTTAAATTTTTCTCGCGTTAGATTCTTCACGCGTTGAATTTTCTATTCATTATATTACCACGCGTTATATCGGCACCTATTAGATTTTCCACGTGTTGTGTCTCCACGCATTAGATTATTTACGCGTCAGATTTTTCTCGCGTTAGACTCTCCACGCGTTGAATTTTCTATTCGTTATATTACCACGCGTTATATTGCCATCTATTAGATTATTTACGCGTTGGATTTTTCTCGCGTTAGATTCTCCACACATTGAATTTTCTATTCGTTATATCACCACGCGTTATATCGCCACCTATCAGATTTTCCACGCGTTGTGACTCCACACATTGCCTTATCCTCGCGTTAGATTTTTCGCAAATTAGATTCTCCACGTGCTGAATTTTCTATTCGTTAAATTACCACGCGTTCTATTGCCACGCGTTTTATCGTCACCTATAAGTTTCTCCACGCGTTCAATATCCTACTCGTTAGATTACCACGCGATATATAGCCACACACAAAGTTTTCCATGCATTTTATCGCCATACATTACATTTTCCACGTATTAGATTCTCCGCGCATAAAATATCCTACCCGTCAGTTTACCCTCGTGTTTTATCGCCGCGCCCCTGTTCTCCCATATATTATTTAAATCTCCACGCGTTAAATTCTCCACATCTTAGTAACACAACATTCCTAAACCCTTGACGTCACATCCTAAACTCTTTTTCATGTATTATAGACATGTTAAATTTCCACGCGTTATATCGCCGTATATTAGATTCTCCATGCATTAGATCTTTATAAATAACATTCAGCACACGTTAGATCGTCGCACATTGAATACTTTCATAGTCTCGTCGTACTTGGTATCTCACGCTATATCGCCACGCGTTATATCGCCGTATATTAGATTCTCCATGCATTAGATCTTTATAAATAACATTCAGCACACGTTAGATCGTCGCACATTGAATACTTTCATAGTCTCGTCGTACTTGGTATCTCACGCTATATCGCCACGCGTTATATCGCCGTATATTAGATTCTCCATGCATTAGATCTTTATAAATAACATTCAGCACACGTTAGATCGTCGCACATTGAATACTTTCATAGTCTCGTCGTACTTGGTATCTCACGCTATATCGCCACGCGTTATATCGCCGTATATTAGATTCTCCATGCATTAGATCTTTATAAATAACATTCAGCACACGTTAGATCGTCGCACATTAAATACTTTCATAGTCTCGTCGTACTTGGTACCTCACGCTATATCGCCACGCGTTATATCGCCGTATATTAGATTCTCCATGCATTAGATCTTTTTTAAATAACATTCAACACACGTTAGATCGTCGCATACTGAATATCCACACATGGTCTCGTCATATTTGGTACCTTTCGCTATATCGCCACGAGTTACATCTCCACTTCCAAGGTTATGGTTGTTACACCAATGGATACGAGTGTAAAGAGTTAAGAACAAGCCGTGCCGTATATCCTCCCGGACAAGATACACTTCGCTAGAACGGATTACACAAGGTCCGGCTTTACGCTGAAAATCTAATAAAATCCTTAAGAGGGTTTACGGGTAATACGTTCACCGCTAAACTCGTCCGGATAATCGTTCGAGCAAAAAAATTGCCCTGCAACGAGTATCTTCGTGGAAATTTAATAAGTGTAGCTTTACGAGAGTTGATTAATTCTTCATGGTGTTTTAGTGGACGATGAACGAAATCATTTCTCAAAAACGACCGATGACTTTCGATAAAATTATGTGTGTATGTTTCTTTAGGGAGGATTCGAAGAAGTACGCAAGGATGTGCGATATAATAAATGCTAATTGTCTAAAGCTAATTGTTAATTATTTCGTTTCATTTTTAGACTATTTTATTTCCGTTCCATTTTAATTGTTAACACGGCATGTGGTTTCATTAATAACTGATATTTTGAAATAGTATAGCAAAGGTTAGGGTATCTTTGTCATTCCAAGTCCATTTCAAATTTCCATTTTCGAATTTTCCATTTTCGAATTTCTTAATTTTTAAATTATCTTCTTCCCTACACAGAAATTCCCAAATTATTAATCCCTATATTGAGGGATTTACAAATTTACTTTCCAAAGTTTCTATATTCTGAATAGCTAAATTCCTACCTACTGTAAGTTCCTAAATCCTCAAATTTTCAAAGTGTAAATCCTCATAGCCCCAAATTCTACATTCTGAAACATGCTAGTACACAAATCCCTAAATCTCCGAATTTTCTGTTGCTTGAATTCCTACATTTTCAAACTTTCAAACTCCTGAAGTACTAAATGAAGAAATTTCTAAATTTCCAAACTGCCAACCTCCAAACTCCCAAATCCCCAAATTCAAACATTCCTAAATTTTTTACTTCCCAAATTTCTGGATTCCTAAAATTCCCAAATATACAAATTTCAAAGTTTCCTACTATCAAATCCCTAAATCTTCAAACACCCAAATCTCGAAGTGCCAAATTTCAAAATTTCCTACTCCCAAATCCCCAACTCTCCAAACACCCAAATCTCAAAATTCCCCATTCCCCATTCCCTAAATCCCCAACTCCCCAAATCTCAAAATTCCAAATTTAAAAATTTCCCATTCCCAAATCCCCAACTCCCCAAATATCTAAATCTCAAAATTCAAAATTTAAAAATTTCCCATTGCCAAATCCCCAACTCTCCAAATACCCAAATCTCAAAATTTCCCATACACAAATCCCTAAATCCCTAAATCCCCAACTCCCCAAATACCCAAACCTCAAAAGTCCAAATTCCCAAATCCACAAATTTCAAAACATCCTCCCAAATCCCCAAATCCCCCCATTAGTCATCCCCCATATCAAAATTCCTTACCCAATCAAAAAACTCCTAAAAACATCACAAACTTGATTCTCAAACTACTCCATTTAATCCCCTCAAGTCTATCCATTTTCCTCTTAATTTCCACGAAAGATACAGTCTGTTGCGCGTGTTAATTATCACGTCGCGTTTTAAAACGCCTTTTGATGTCGTGTCGCGTGGCAATATGTATGCATCGAGTCCGCATGGAAACGCCATAATTTATCGCGAAACAGTAGCACGTGGCGCGGGTCAGGAATTAACGGCATTAAGCGTAATCGTGCTTTCTTGAGAAATCCATCGGTAGAATATTTTAATGAAATAATTGCGTGTTCGTGCGTTTACCTCCGCGGAAAATGTACCCGCAAACAAATGTGCACACGTGTGTTATGCACTCGCCAGCTCGCTCGCTCGCGTGCTACTAGTCACGTTGTAAATTTACATCCTACTGATCGTCAACACAGATTCGAACCTCGACCTAATTAGCCTTTTAAAACGCTCACGGCAATTAAGTAATGTGCTCATAATCAAACGGACGTTGGACAAATTTTAAAACCTGGACGCTTCAATAATTTTTCAAGATGTTGGAGGATTTTTATAGTAGGAGACATTTCAGGATTTGGGGACTTTTAGGAATTTGGATGTTTGGGTAACTTTGAAATGTGGAGATTTGGGGGTGTGGGAAATTGGGGATTTAGGAATTTTTGGAAATTTGGACACTTGGATAATTTTCAAATATAGAGATTTGGGGGTGTTGGAATTTGGGGGGTTTAATAGTATTTAATTTTGTAGTATTCACATGGTCTGAGAATTTGGGGATTTCTTCATTTGGGGTTTGGGAACTTGAGGATTTAGAAATCTGGGATCTTGGGGATTCGAGGGTGTAGGAATTTGGGGGTTTAGAAATTTTAGATCTTGAGGATTTGAGGGTCTGTGAATTTTGGGACTTTGAGAATTTATGAATTTTAGGGGTGTTGGAATTTAGAGTCTTAAAAATATAAAAATATAAGGAGTTGAGGGTTGAAAATTTGAGGAGTTAGGAACATAAGAATATAAGACTCTGGGGGTGCATTTACTGATTTAGGAATTTCAGAATATCAGGATTAGAAGGTCCAGGAATTAAATTCCTCAGAAATTCTAAAAATAGTCAAAGTTAAAAAATTGAAAACAACCTTTAATAATTTACGAATCTATAAACTTGAGAACCCAGGAATTTATGAATTTCAAACATCCACAAATTTATAAATATAAAAATACTTAAAGTTTGAAAATTTAAAAATACCAAAACTTGTCAGAATATAAATAGTAAGTAGACGAACTCAGAAATGATATGTAGCTAATTAATATCCGATTAAGCGATGCACACGTAGTCAAACAGAGTAAAAGACGTAGTTCGTACCCCGACGACGCGCGAACGTCTGCGTACATTCGTGTGTAAACAGATTTTCCTCCATTAGTATGATCGATCGATTTGTCGCTCGATCGACGGTGGTAATTTCGAAAATCGGTAAAATGCCATTTGCTAAATTACCATACAATTACGAGGATTATCTGATGCGCGTTGAACGATGGGTTAAGATAGATAACCCACTTTGTTTCAGTTAGAAGGAAATTTTTCCCTTTATATTTTTTTATCGCAATCGCGGCTCGATCGATACAAAAATGGTAAAATGCTGGTAAATGAGACTGTAGTTTATTTAACGATACCAGATACCAGATAATAATGCAACATTTCCTAGTCGAGTTTATTATATGTCGTTTCGTGTTAAGTAAACAGAAACATTCGCATACAATAACAGCCTTGTGAATTTATTAACTTCTTTAGGTATGATTTTTACTCTTTGAAGACTATGCAATTTTTTAGCAATGTTATTACTTATTTTAAATCGATGGTTATTTAATATAAATTTTATTTTGCATTGTTATGTGTCCTTGACGGGGTCGAAAATATTTTAATAGTGATTTTTGTTGCCAAGTGGTCTAACTTTTAATCCAGTTATGTTTGAACTTATTCTACATTGATAGCAATTAAAAAATATTGTAAAAATAATATTTAGTTTATTTTAGGTTCCAAGTTCATACTGATATTTATGAGATAACAAGGAAATTACAGTCTAGTTTTCTATGCATTTATATTCCACTTATCTTAAATTGATAGCAATTAGTTTCACACATACACAAATCGGTACCCTTGAAGAGGTTAAAAATTCCGATTTTTAAGCTGTCTGTATATTTGACTCATTTCAAAACGATATTAATTATCTAAAAAAAAAACTTCCAAACATGTTAAGTTTGTATAGTTATAAAGAGTCCACACGTGTAACCATCGTACATTAAAAAACTGTACACACTCGAAAGAATCGGCGATCACGCGCGATTCCCCGAATTTCATGCAAATTCCACACGCAAGCACTAGATAAAAAAAGTGTACCTTCGTCCTTGCCGTGTCCCAATATCTGATCGATGCTATACACGTTCTTCTTCTGATTGTAAGTTTGCGCCATGCTTGTTCGTCGGAAATCACAGCGTAGGCAAGTGTTAACCGGAAGCGTAGCAGAATTCACGAAGGATCACTTGCGAAAAGTTCTGTATCATCGAGGATCCCGGTAAATCGTATTTTCCCGCTGTCGCACGCGGACAGATGGAGCTTCGTCGAAGAAAACGTCCAAATTGGCGCGAAAGGGTCAACGGTATACGATACTCGCGGCGAAGAAAGCAAGAAAGAAAGAACCAGAGAGGAGAAAGGAAAAAACGACGGAGCGCCGATGTTCCACGCGACTCTGGCTTCGAAAAGAAAATGCGTCAATCGACGGCGCACCACGAACTGGCTCGTCGGACATGAAAGCAGCCCTTAATATCACACACAGCCGCCCCACCTCGCAACCCCTAACACCGCCATATTAGCCTCCCCGCCAATGAGGGCGCACGCTTCTCACCCAAAGCCACCCCGTACTCGGGGGTTGAATGAGGCCTGGGCGGGGAATATTTTGCCCTTTCCGCGTAAATCCCCGGATTTTTTTCCACCTCCTCCTACCCTCCCCCTCCACGCTCTTCCTCCTTCTAACTGAACCTCTCGCTTCTGAGTCTCCATCTTTCTGTCTTTCTTCTACGTCGTACATCTACCTATGTCCGTCCCTTTATCTGTCTTTCGTTTTCTCGTTTCACTTTGACGCCACGGTTTCGATCGACGGGATATTTCTTTACTCTCTCTCTTTTTCTCTATCAACATTATTTACCGCGTCTTCGGATGTACGCGCATTTTTTCGCCATTTATCTTACCTACACCGTTAACTGAGAGTTTTCAGGTTCCTTTTTCTTACTCTTTGCGGGGAGAAGTTTGGATTCGGAGGGAGTTGGCGATGGGTTAATTAAAGGATGGTGTTAAGATTCTATGTAATTTGATTGGGAGATTTGATCATTTTTATGAGCAGCACAGAATTGGAATTTGTTTTCATTAGGGATGTTGTTTGTTGGTTTGACATTTTTAAAATTCGATAGTTGTAAAATGGCAAAGTATGAACCTTCAAAATTGCACAAGTTCGAAGTTATGAAACTTCAAAACTTTAAAACAGCGAAGTTAAAAAATTGGAATGTTCAATTTTTTAACAAAAAAGTTGCTCAAAGTTCCAGAATTCCAGTGTCTCTTAAACAGTCGCTTTCTTGAACTCTACAATCTCAAAATTTTTACATTACAAAATTGTTAAGTCCAAAGCTATGAATTCTCAAAGTCGCAAAATTAAAAACTTCCACAAGTCTGAACCTCTGAACTGTAAAAATTCAAAAGTAGCATAAAAATTTCAAATTGCCAATTATTCCTAAACTTCCAAAATTCAAACACTCTAATCCATAAAATCTCAAAAACCTAAAATTTTTAAATCATAAGACTTCAAACTCCCAAAGTCCTAAATTTCCCAGGCTCCAAAACTCTAAAATTCTGATATCCCAAAGTGTGATAGCATAACTAAGTACCTGACCTAACACACAAACACAAAACCTCGAATCTACCTATCTAACAAATCTATTGCATATATTCTCCATATGCAATATAGCACGAAGAAAATTTTCTCGATAATATCCAGAGTACAGCAACCTGAGGTTACCTGAAAGTGGAGGAACCCCGTAGCTTTCAATTGCGAGAAACGAGGTCGCCTAGTTCGCCGGCTATTCACTAATAGGCCCGTCCGAAAATTTGCTTACGATTATCCTACTTATTCTAAGACAACACCTTTGCACGTTACCTGGGTAGAATTGGTAATCTAATCCTAAGACCATGGGCTCGAAAGAGGCAAAATCCTGAGCACCACTTTTCGAAAATTCATCCGTTTTATGTAATCTCTCGTAATCTGTCCGTGACAAGCTGTTACTAATCCAAGGAATACCCATGATTATTTTTGACCACATTCTGCGGGATTCTCGCTCTAATTCACTGTGGTTGTTGAGAGAAAACAACCTGTTGTATTATCGTTAATTATGAGGTTTTGGTTTATTTAAATTCTGATATGGGAGCCATTTTGTGTACATTGTGTATTTCGACTGCTATTAAAATATTGTTTAATAAATAGTTGTTTAAAAACAGTTTAAAGTTTCTAAGATGTTTTGTGTTTCGGGTGCAATTTTAAGTGATACAAGAAACATGGCGTTAGGTAGCCATTTTGTGACTGAAGAGAAATATCGTTGAAGTTATAAATATATTCTAATCCATTTATGATATCTGACGAAGCAAAAATTAATAAATGGCTTGAGAAGGTTGAGCAACAGCAATCTCTAACAAATTAAGGTGAACTAATGAAAATGATTATCTCGTTGAAAATGTCCCGATGAAAATGATAATGGTAATAAAATACTTTTAAATCGCTGAACTATTAAGGAAATATCTAAAGCATTTAATACTTCTATTACGAATTTTAAATATCAATTACGAATATTTATTTGTGAACAAAAACCTTTATCGACACATAGTAAAAACAAAATGGCGGGATATTTAAGAGTTAATTTAATGTTTGTACACTTCGGCGTGCAATTTCGCAAAACGTAACACTCCAGCGAAACATCAAACGAATTTAACAATTTCGCTGGTTTTATCAAACTTTCGATTTTATAGGAGGATTGAGAAAAATTTGATCGTTACAGAACGACGTGGCACGCGACAATTGAATATTAAATTTCCGGGATTTATTTAACGAAACGGAGTATCTTCCGTCGATCACGTAAAGGTGTGGGCGTACAATATGTCGCCCCCGTTCCTCCCCCGTTTGTATCGCGGGCTTTATAATGCAAATAAACCGTAGAAAAAAGGGGTAGGGGGTTGGCTGCTTCGCGTTCGTGACGCTGCAAACCAGATTTTTGGGAATATCGCGACCCGGTATCGCGCGAAAAAAAAGGTATCTCCTACACGGATGATTTTGAAAAACAAAACGCTTTGTCGGCGAGAAACGACGTCACGTTTTTACATACATACGAAAACCGATTACCCGGTCCACGATGAAATGGACAATTCCTGGACGCCATTAAAAAAATGAAACGTTCATCTTGCGCGTGGAATACGCTATGCGGGGACTATGTGCCTATAACGAACGTGAATTTAGGTGATATAACGCGTGGTGTTACAACGAATCGATTGTGCCTGGTATTACGACGCATGCAGTATTTAATGCTGAGAAATATAATGCGTGATATTAAAACTTGTGGAGAATCAAATGTTTGGAGATGTTATGCGTTGTGTTAGAAGGCGTAGAGGATCTGGGAGATCCAATGACATAGGGATGCAATGAGTAGCAAGTTTAAAGATTGGTTGTGCTTTGGGTGGGATTAGCACGCTTAGAGAATGTAGTGCCTGATGATACCACGCGTGGAGCTACAATGCGTGGAATTATAATGCAAGGAATTACAACGTGTGGAGTAACAACGCGTAGAGAATTTAGTGCTTGACGATACCACGCGTGGAATTACAGCGCGTGGAATTACAGTCCGTGGAGTTACAACGCATAGAAAATCTAACGCGTGACAATACCACGCGTGGAATTACAACGCGTGGAATTACAGTGCGCGGAGTCACAGCGCATAGAGAATCTAACGCGTGACGATACCACGCGTGGAATTACAATACGTGGAATTACAGTGCCTGGAGTTACAACGCATAGAGAATCTAACGCGTGACAATACCACGCGTGGAGTTCCAACGCGTGGAATTACAACGCATAGAGAATCTAACGCGTGACAACACTACGCGTGGAATTACAGTGCGTGGAGTTACAACGCATAGAGAATCTAACGCATGACGATACTACGCGTGGAATTACAGCGCGTATAAGAATTTATTGTGAAATCTCATGTTCTTCATGTGTTCGAAAATCCAATAAGAATGACAACATGATGAGACGGTATTCTGTTGCCATGAAACAAAAGCTGAAAGGCGTCGTAAAATGTCCATTATGTCTCTATAGGGTTGATTGACTGAGAATAATAAGTTATTAGAGCCGATACACGACCACAAAGGGTTAATACACCCTTCTCAACGAATAAACGTCTGGATAGGGGAAATTCTTAAGGGTACAACAATGACCTGTTCAAAGAAGCAATCTGACCGAACGACCAAAGGAGGAACGTCAAAGTGTCACGCTGCATCCACTGCGCGATCTAAAAGGAATCAGGATCATCCCCGACGAGGCAGATAGTAGCTAAACAGTTAATACTTAGCAGATGTTAATACTTAACAGATAAACGTTCACAGAAATAATTGGGAATACCCAATATTAGGCATAGTCGACCTTAGCGAAGATTATCCGCACGATTTTCAACCATTAGGTAAATCATTTGACCTGGATCGGTGTGACGAATCAAGAATGACATGCAAATCGTTGCTGCGAACGTGCACGATTTTTTTCCTCCGAAATTCATAAATGGACATCGCTTTTGTTGTTTATATGTTTGTATCGTGTACACGTTATACGGTAGAGGAAAAAAGAAAATTAAACGTTGAGGGCCACGTATATGTTGTAGGCTATCCGGTGAAAAATGATAAAAAATTTGCAATAAACACGACAAGCAAATTCAACGAACCAGTGACACAATAATTGATTCGGTTCTTTTCACGATAAAATGCGAATTTCAGCCGGGACAACTGTATCCCGTACAGTAATTTACTGGGGGTCGATATGTGCGATATTTAGAAATGAACTGATAATTAATGTTTATCCGGATACGCTCTTTAAAATCCCGGTCTTGGATTTTCCTTCATTTTAAATCTTCGTTTCTAAATAACATAATTTTGCTGGCAAGGGAGAAGGAGAATGCTTAATTGGAAGGGATATGTATTATTATTAAATGGGGTTGATAGAGAAGGATATAAGGATAAGGTTATAAGGATGTCAAAGTATAGGGATGTAGGGACATAGGTATAAGGTTATAGGTTAGGTTATGTGAACAGCAGATTAGAGGTTATGTATCTTAAATTATCTAAATCACCCAACTTTTCAAATTTCCAAACAATTTCTTTAAATTTTAA